AGATGACCCAAGGGCTCAACATCAGTTGGACTATAAATAAGAACCATCTAAATACACCACAACAAATTTCCATATAAAGGGACAAAGAACCCGATTCATTACCCCTAATAAAAGTGTTCAAGGCATTGGATAATCCAAACAGCATATCCACCCACTCGCAAATCTGATGCGATTTTCCACTCATCCCTAAGGGGATCCTAATTTGATGATACTCGCCTTTTAAATCAATCTTAGAAAAAACCTTAGAGCCTGTCAACATATCCACATATCATCGAGACGAGGGATCATGAAGTGGGACTTCATTGTTATCTTGTTAAGAACCCTACTATCCAAACATATATGCCAAACACCATCTTTCTTAAGTGTCAATAGGGAAGGGATATAACAAGGAAAACTCTCACAATTTAGCCCCATATTTAATAAATCGGTGAATTGCTTTAGGCAATTCTTCATACAATTATGGGCTCACACCATAATGAGGTAAGTTAGAGATAGGAGCACTAGGGGCTACATAAATACAATATTGAATCTCTCTCATTGGGGGTAAAGCCTACTCATCAGGCACAATATCCTTAAAATCATCAGTCAATAGTTCAACAGCACGAGCTATAGAATCAAGATGAGAAGAATCTTTTGCAATTAAAGCATATATAACCCCCTACTCTTACCTCAAGAAACCGATTCTGAGAGAATAAGCTCATCCTCCACCTTCTTGAAAGTCAGGCTCATTTTCCTCTTTTAATGGTTGCAAAGTAATGTTAACCCCATTCATCAATATATATACGTATTGTGTCTCTCATTGTGTATGGCGAAGCAGTCATATCGTCATGGGTGACCCAATAATATATGTCATGCATCCATTGGTAACATATCTTAAATAAGTGACTGTGGAATTCTAGGGAAAAAAATAAAAAAAATTCTCTTTTCTTTCATTCATATAACTGATTATACACTTATAGGTGCCACAAAACAATGCTGTAAATAAGAAAATCAACTGTAAATACAACATAGGAACTTCCTTTTACTGCCAAATAAAAATGGCCAAATCCAAGGGTTGAATTCAAACTTTCACTGCGAATTCCAATACCAATAAAGTTCTTAGAAGTTATAATAAATGATGCAATAATGACTGAAAACAATCAAGGAACAGCAGGGAAGACTTACTCAACTTTGCCTAGGTTCACACACTTAGAACTTAAATACACCCCACACTTGATTACTTGATCAATGGCGCACTTTGATGACATTAGCCCTACTGAATTCTTTGAGTCAAGAAGCTCCTTAGGCAATACCTTTTTCAAATCTGAGGTTTAGAGAGCATAAGCTAGATCTAGGGTTTCTTGTAACCCTTTGGGACACTTAAGGCATGCAACAAGGCACCACCCTTTCTGCTGTCAAGGGCTTGGCGTGCCTCCCTCTATGAGCCCTAGGTGGTGTGTACCACCCCCTTAGGTCTTCTAAGGTGGTGCGTGCCACTCCCTCCAAAGAGACCAGAGAGAGATGAGAGTGAGAGAAAGGTGTGGAGGAGAGAGGAGAGAGAGAAAGGCTAAGAAATCAGGTGGTTAAAATGAGGAGGGCTACCCTCTATTTATAGCTTTCAAGGGAGTCCAAATATGCCTATCTGAATTAGAATTCCTCTTGGCCAGGGGACCCCTAGGTAATATACGAGTGAGAGAGAAATAAAGCGGAGCCATCCATCCCAAGAATCAGCCATCAAGAATCTAGAAAACCTTATCCCCTAAATCTTTAACCTACATCCACTTTTGGTCAACCTAGGACAATACCAATCAAATCTCATCTTCTTTTTTTACTAGAATTTCCTCCTCACACAAAGAGATTGTAGGAATTCAAAGTCAAAGATATTTGGTCAAATTCAAAGATTGAAATAATAATTTTCCGAGCACAAAATATTCTCTACTCCCACAAAATATGCTCACAAGATCTTTTTCGAAGATTTTCTCAAGATGTCCTTTAGCAAAACATTTGTTGTAAATAGATATAATACAATTTTGAAATATAATGGGCTGATCACCATGTCAGCATGTGGCCCTAGTGAGCCCCTTGTCCCACTCCATGTAGAACCTCACGAGTGGGAGTTGGGCCCTTGCCACCACGCCCACCCCCACCCCCACCACCACCCCCCCCCCCCCCCCCACCCACACACACCCACACACAAAAAACCCTTCCCAAAAAAAAAATTGTATCCCACTTAGCCCCAACCAAAACAAAAAGTACGAAAATGCATTTTTTTAGGGGTTTTAAATGCTGAAATGATTTTAAAAATTTTGAAATTTTCTAAAAACCAAATCCATTTCTTGAGCTGAAAAAATAGAAGTGGATTGGTACCAATGGGTCAAGAAAAAGTGACTGTTAGGCACTCCACCCGACCCAGTAACTGTGATCCTTGGTTATCTTCTCAAACCAACCCAACGAGACCAATGACCCATAGTCTCATGCAGGGGCTCGCAATTGGCTCACCAAAGCTAGCCAATAAATAGCGGAATCATGGTCCCAAAATGTGGATTACATGTTCCCCCCTTAAAAGAAAGTCAAACGCACATATCACTATAGTGCAAGGGGGACTCTCTATGCACATGTACATGTATCCTTTTGCAGGATTGCTTCCCAATATATAGCTATCATGTGCACATACCATGCGAAAGTTTGTTGAGGATTTTAGCCCTCACTCTCACAAGCCTACACCCACACACTGGGGACCACAAAGTTCTCCTAGCCTACAAACCATCCATGAACATCTCTCAAGCCTCAACAAGGGATGACCCTTTCAAAATCCTCAACAGTAATGGCATATACCCAAGGATAAAGGTTTTGGACATGACCAGGTTCATAGACCGCCTAATCCTAGGTCAATCAACCAACACACACACTCCCACTGAAGTATATAATCCGCTATAATTATTTTTATTTACATGCTCTCACGGGCTTTAAAGGCAAAAACCTCAACACTATCACACAAAGCAAGCTCCTCAACGTGCTTTATCAATTATTAAATTAACTAGAAAATGAGAATTCATCAGGGTATCATTACCTCTATTAAACCATGAAATCTTGTACGACTATAGATGCTTTTAACACTCCAATTGAGCTTATCCACCATCTAACGTGATACAATACTACTTCCACTATCAATTGTAATAATGCATACTTTCCCTTGGACTATACATCTATTATTGAAGGTATCAGTTTACCATCATGGTTCTTCCACCACCAAAGGAGTACATAACAATTACCTAATTACGAGGAAGTCCCTTTAATCTAGATTCAATTTTGTTGTTGCGCTTCCAGACTCTTCATCATAAACTGGCCCCTTCTCAACATCCCCTTCGTAATCATCTTCTTCTTCATATGGGGTCCAGCCTACCTCTTGGGGAAGTCAAAAGACCTATACCAGGCCCACCACAATTCAAGCACTTAGGACCCTGTTCTTGAATTTGATGGGTTTTATTTGTATCAGTGCCCTTGCCTACCTTTGCCCCATTGCAAAAACTCAAAGGCAAACTAGCAGCAAGGCCCTCGGAACTTGAAGATGATTCCCAATCAAAGGAGCAATTGGAACAATTCCTCTCCAATTTCATCTCCACCTTAGGCTTCATCGATGTTGAAATTTCAAAATCAGCTCATCTTGGATCTGAATTTTCAGCCCACTAATGTACTATGTCACAAGTTGATCATCATCATCATGAATCTCATTACAGCTCATCAACAAGAAGAAGTCATCTATATATTCTTGAATGCTTTTATTTTTTTGTCACAGACTCACAGGTGGTGAAATTTCTGATACAACTCTAGAAAACAATCAGACGGGACAAACTTGTCTTTCATCCACGATTTCATCTCTCGCCAAGTCATACTTTCTCCTCCTTTCCAACACGACTTGCCTGTAACTGTTGCCATCAGATTAGAGGATGCCCTTCAACCTGGTAGCCACAAAACCTTTCTCTCCTCTTGATAATTCCTTCTACTCAAAAAAAAGTTTCAATACTTAATTCATTTACTATAGTTTGTTCTTAGTTAAATTGCACTGCAATTTTTTTAGATTACAAATTACCCTAAGTTTTTTAAAAAAATTTTGTGGTGATTTCATTGTAATTATCGAACATTTTATCCCTTCCAATAGTGTGTGTGTGTGTGTGTGTATATATATATATATATATACCTTCCAACCTCAAAAACATATTATTTTCCTTTACTATTTCTATTATATGTGTATTTCTTACACTGTACAGTTAAAAGAAAGTACAGAAATAGAAATAATGTCTATTAGAAATCCATTATATTTTTAAAATTTTGTACAAAATAGTGGTGGCGCAACTATTGAGCCCAGCCCTAACCACGCCCACACCTACCCAGACCAAGCCTGTTAAGCCAACAGGCCTTGATTGCAAGCCTGGCGCAGTGAAGGGCTGGCTCAGCCCATTTACCCCATTTTGAACTAAAAAACTTTCTATAATTCGGGCCAGTCTGACCTTATAACAAGGCCCTATGACAGGCCCGGACCCTGACTGTGACGGCCTGGCCTTCAAGGCCAGCTGGGCCATCCTGGCCCAGTTGTAATCAAAATAAAGTGGTCAAGGTAAATTATAAAAGGCTATTGTGATCAATAGGCAAATAGATCAGTAAACCCCCCCCGGTATCAAGTCTAATCAGCCATTAGAATTTTTAAAAAAAAGGAAGAAAACAAAAAAATGCTAAGTGCTAACTTATAACACAAACTTATCATGTTTTGATCAGATGTCCTGTGTCAACTTAGTGGAAGTTTGAGAAGGGACTCTCTTACAAACCTACGGTTTGGGTAAGATTAAAACACGACTACTACCACCTTGAGAGGTTATTGCTGAGAGGATCTAACCTCTTAACAAACAAAGAGCAGATAAAGGCAAAGAGGCTAAGGAATCGCATGCTGAAGCTTAACTACGAAAGCACTATCGTTCTACCAAGAAGAGGAAACTTCTATCAAAATACTGATTATCTAATATCACCTTTTGTAACAGCACTAGGGTCTTCATAAAAGCCAGCAATTATTGCAACATGCCCAGGTCTCGATTCAGTTGGAGGACGAGCATGTGAAATGCCCCATCGACCTTTAGTTTTCATAATATTTCTAAGAAATAACGCCCTGTACTCCCCTTTAGCATCAGGCTCAAAAAATTTATCGGCACGTAATCCATCAGCTGCAAAACCAGTTAACCCAACCTTGTCAATCTTTAGAATCAACCACCTAAAGAAGGAAAAGTATACAATAAGATCATTTAACTTTGATACAAGGTAGTCAATTAATCTTAATCATTGGATGTGAAATTGGGTGGTTACATTTATATAATTGACCAAACTCAAAGTTCAAAATGAATTTTCTCAAACTTTGAGATATACCCACTCTATCATATTTCACGTTAGATGGTTATAAGCATTGTGACCTCGTTGTATCAAAGGTAAATAGTCCCATTCAATACAATCCCCATAAGAAACATAGGTTGTTCTAGAAGTATCATCAATTTGAATTTTTGAAAGATTTAGACTTTTTTTTTTTTGAGACAGTTAACAGGATTTGGATTTTGAGACTTATGCAGAATTTCTTCAAAAGTATTTCGCAGGAATGTTGCAATAGCAAGGGATAAATGGTAATGGATAAAGAGAGAAGTGGTGAGTAAGAGATAGAGAGTGGGGAGAGACAAATGAAAGAGAGAGAATGGGTAGGCAGAGTGAGAGTCAAAAAAGAATGAAATGGGTAAAGAGAGAGATAGGTAGAGAGTAATGGGTACAATGACAAATTGGGATAGAGAGAGAGAGAGAGAAGTGCAAGAAATGGGTATGGGGAAACTGTAGAAAAACAAATTGGGATAGAGAGAAATGCAAGAAATGGGTATGGGAAAACTGTAGAAAGAGAAATGAGTGAGAAATGGGACAGAGATAGAGAAATGAGAGAGAAAGAGAAAGATTGGGAGAGAAGGAGATGGACAGAGAAGGAAATAGTGAGAGAAAGAAAGAGATGGATAGATTGAGGAAAGTGGAGAGAGAGAGAGAGATGGATAGAGAGAAAGAGAGAAGTGGGCAGGTACCTATAAGGAGGACCAGGCGCTTGGCAGGGGGGTTGATCCGAGGCTCGACAGGGTCCATGCCATGAACAATGGGGGTCTTGAAGTATATATCAAAAATGCTAAGCATGTAAATGGCGTGCAAAACCACGCCCAAAACCACCAACCATCTCTCTCTCCTCTTCCTGAACATAATCCACCTTCCCCTCATTCCTCTCCCCCCTACACCACCTCTGCTGCTGCTCCTGCTCAAGGGAAGAGGAAGAACCTCACCACCCTCTCCTCTCTCTCCTGCCATCAAAAACACACCTCTCTATTTCTAAATCTCTCCCTCTCTCTGAAAAGACTGATACCAATTCAAATGGCGGCGCGGTGGAGACGATGCGAGAGAGAAGGGATGGGTTTCCCCCATCGCCACCAGGATGATTCTATGCTCCCGCGGGAGCATTTTCTCCGATCACTCCCCTACTTTTGAGACCGATTAGACCCTCCACCACGGGCAAACATTTCTAATTTGAAATTTTCAATATAATCATTTTGACATTACTCAAAAGTTTAAAATTTCATGGAAAAACATGAATTGTTGGAAAATAAATCAAATAGTATGGATGAGACTCTAAATGGTTCAAATCTTATATGTAGTTTTATAGATTTCTTAGACATACATATTCGTAGGCACTTTATATACATTCATAAATTTTTTATCTAATCACTCAAATATTTGATCAACGCACTTCACAACTAGGTCAATACATGTTTGTGATCAATGGGAATTTTATGGCTATGATAAGAACTAATACAAAAAAAATAACGATAAACGAAAAAAAAATAAAAATAAAGATTTGAGAGCTTATACCCTTTCATTAGGTCTGCAAGGAAGTCCACTCCAATATTTTTTCAGAAGATCGAACTATTTATTTATTCTACAAATACTATCTCTACAAATAAGGGACATCTTCCCTTTAAATACTCTACAAAGAAGAACCCATTCCCTTTAAATACAAACTTATAACGGATAAAAAATAAAAATAAAATAAAAATAATAAACTAAACTCCATATCTCCTTATATCTTAAAAACAAATCTAATATATACTAACCAATCAAACATACTAATCCCTATCTATATCCATTTAAAAAAATAATAAGTTTCTAATTTTACCCTTTAAATCTCTACAACTAAAAAAAATAAGCATAACCTTAAAAAAAAAGTAAAAACCCAACCTAAATCTAAAAATCTAAGTGAAAAAATTAAAAATTAAAAATTAAAAAATTCACGGCATCACAAAGTCTCATTATGGAGTGAAAGTGGAGGGCAAAGTTACCAATACGTGGTTTTGGTCTAAGTGCACCATCATCATGGAGGCCGTGCTCCTTAAATCACATTGCTAAGGTAGGTGGATACTGACAAAAAAGCCACCATGGAGCTCTTCTATGAAGAATCCAAAAAGTAAGACAGCTTCTTGATAGAAGTACAACAAAAGAAATTGAGCTTTACCCCTACGTAGTAGAGATCATAGAGAGTGAATCAATTAGGTTACCAGATTCATTATATGGGCAAATGTTTATCTATATGCTTAAATGTTTAAAAATTAAAATATTTCGTCACTTTAAATTGTCTCTTCATCTTCGTATTGTCTATGTTTCTACTTCTACTTCAACCTTAAATATTTTTATTCCCCTTTTATTCGCAACAAGGTCATAGAGGGGGTGAGATATGTTATTAGAAGATTGTTAAGAAACCATATAAGCTAAATACATGCATTAAAGTAAGTTAAAAGATAACATTTTATGTAGGAATTTTATTGACTTTGTGTAATTGGGAGGCCTAATTAAAGCATTAAATCACATATTTTTCCCAGCTTTTCTATGTACAGGGATGTGGATGTGGAAGTCTCATTTGCCTGTAGAATTGTTAGGACTTCTCGTAACGAGATGGATCTAGGTTATCTCTTAACTAATTACAAGTTCTTTCACATCATTCATCTTATGAAATATTTTAGCCCTCCCTTTGCATTTCATTACAGCTAAATGGTGGGTGGTACAAGGTTAGAACGTGAGAAGGGCAGCAATCAAGGTGTTCTCTCAAATATATTCAACTACTGGATATGAGCAAAACTAGATTATATTTCAATGGTTTTATATTTTGAAGAGGAATTAAGTGATTTCATAGAGGCTTCATAAGGTTGTTTATGCTTATTACAATTTGAACCTCCAAGAACGACAAATAAGGAAGTCGACTGAGAGCTACAACCCAATCTAACAAGATGCAATATTTGTTGTAGATACAGGGATACATGATAGCAGTAGGTAGTAGAAGAAAATGAGTCAATGCTACGTAGGAGGGCATTCTTGAGGTAATTTGTGAGGAAGATATCCAAGAAGGTGCTAGCAAGCAGGGAGGAGGAGGTGACCCATCAAGATTTGAGGTTGTTACCCTTTTTTTTTTTTTTTTTTTTTTGGGGGGGTGGGTTTTAGGGATGAAAGAGTAAGATGATTCTGATGCCACTTAATCCCAACCAAGATATATGCAACCTAAGACCAAACAACAAAGCACGAGGAGTAACAAAACCTTGGAAATTTCGTGATAGTAAAGGAACAGTTCACCGTCCCTGGGGCCCATGTTATAGTCAATTGGGTATTGATGCTTCTACCATGCACACCAATGGATTGTATCACCGTTAAATGAGTGGAAACAATGCGATGAAGCGAAATAATAATGTCGTCGTTTGTTTTGGTAGTAGGTTGTATTTCAATAGTAGCGTACTGGGATCATATATTCATATCCATGATGTTTCTAAACTCCTTTTTAATATAATGTGAATATAATGATAGACATTCGGACAATGAGTGTCATCTCAATATTCACATATTTTTGTAAAATAATAAAAGTCTATAAGACACTACCCTTGATTTTTGGAAACACAAAAAACAATATTTATGACAATCTTTAAATAATTCTTTGAATTATTTGTTTAAGGTTAGATAAGGCCTATGTGGCCGATCCACTATTGGGAATGCTAATACGCTGATTCATACCGATTTTCTGGATGGCTGATCTGCTTACGCAATTTGGGTTTCCAAAACTATTTAATGTTTTTATTCATCCAGGTGGTTTGAAGAAATGAAACATTTTATATAAAAAAAGTATACAATAAGACAATTTATCTTTGGTATAAAGGAGGTCATAATCTCTTTCGGCCACTTGATATTAAATAGGTTGGCCAAAAATGTACTAATGACAAGGCTTAAAGTTTCAAATATTATTTTTCAAACTTTGATAGCTAGGAATAAGTGTTATCCCTTTAAAATAAAGATAAACGATCTTCTAGTATACAATCCCTTTTAAAAAAAACACACGATGGACCAGTTCGGTTCAAGCCAAGTATACCCTCTTATTTTTTATATTTTTTCATACTTTTTTGGTTTTTTAGGTGGTGTAGTGTTTAAAGCCCCTACAACTTCTTTCATTTTCTTTTACTTTTTTTACTTTTTTATTATTTTTCCATATCACCAATCTAGGTTATCCAGGTTGATGATGTGGGACGAGATCAATGCATGGCAATTCGGCCCATAAATCTAGTATTATAAACAAAAGTTTTATGTAAGTGTTATAAAATCCAAATATATGTACCTCCATAACACTAGAGAGACATGGATCACAAAATCAAGAGAAGTTTAACAAAGGGAATTGTACACCATAAGACTACTGACATTTATACAAGGAGGTCAATCACCCTTAGCCGTTAGTTATGAATCTGATAATTGAGAGTTTGTCACAAAATTTGAGGAATTTGAACCAAGTAAATGGAGCTCTCATAGCTGCCCGATTTTGCATCTTATGGCTGAGAATGATTGTCACCTCCCCATACCAAAAGTGAATGGTCTTATTATATATTTTTCCTTAAATTTTCAACAATTCAATAATTTACACTTTTCAACTATTCCAACTCATGGTTATGTATATTTTGAAAGGTATTTTGAAATAAATCAAAAGATGTGGGTAAAATTTTAAATAGTTGATCTCGTGTGTATTTTGATAAATTTCCCTAAACAAAAATGTCACTAATGTTTTTGCAACCATGTATTCTCTGCTAACAATAAAGATTGCATTAGAATTGTATTTTAGAATTCTCTGCCCTTAGAATTCTAGAATTGTATTTTAAAGTTGATTACATTAAGTTACAATTAAAACGCTTAGAACTCTAGAATTGTATTTTAAAGTTTAATCGAAAGAAGAGACCCTTGATAGACGAGATTGTTTGCTTACGGGTCCAACTAGAAAGACATTCAGGGTTGAAATTTAAGTGTAGTCTTCACATTTTGTTAATTTAGACTAGCATCCTAAATTATAGTGTAGATATGATTCCTATATACCCTTCTATTTCATATACATTGCCTCACATATTTCGATTTTGAGATAGATTTTATGTGGGATAAGATTCTTTTGCTTCTTTATTTTTGGCATGCAGAGAATTAAACTCGTTTTTGGTGGGTAAAAATCAGAAATATATAATCGAAAGAGCTTATCAAAATTGTATTTCTTTATAGAGAAGTAAAAGTTAATCTTTTAAATTTGATTGATAGCTTTGGTGATAGAAATACTGAGGTCCATGTCCACGTAGCCCCTAAATTTAGGCTAGTAGGACATTTAAGTTATATGCTTATAAAAGAATATCTCGAAAATTATAATCATGAAGATTCTTTAGGAATAGAGTCTTTGAAATATATCTTTTGTAGGCATATATTTCTTAAGAAATATTTTGTAGATTTGGCAAAAAATCGTCGCTATAAAGCAGGTAATAACCTAAAAAATCATACGAAAAAAAGAAGAAGAAGGATGGAGGGGAATGATTGGTCTCTAAGGTTGAGAGTTCAAATCCTAAAATTGTCTACTTTACAACACATCTTCTAGACCATCCATTACATTTGCAAGGCATGTCAATGGTGCAAGCCATGTCAATGGTTTATGACACTGAAACTGTATTTTCAAGTACGGTTTTGAGGTGCAAGTTTACGAAATCTTTTAAAACTATATCCCTACAAAAATTCCCCCACAATCAATTTCTTCATATATTTATTTAACTTTTCGTAAATGTAGAGTATATGTTTAAGGAATTTCTTTTCATTTACCATTAATTCTTGAAATAGATACTGAACTATGGTTCATCTCCACAGGCAAACATGCCCCATGCTAACAACAACAAAAAGGAGCACTACAACTTTGACGGTTTTATTGCAAGGAGCAGCTTTAGTTCACATGTTATTTGTTTTAAGATAATTTTTAGTATAAAGAAATGTATACAAAAACTATTTATTTTTAATACAAGGAAGTCACAATCATTAACGGCGGTTAGATGTGAATCAGGTGGATGGGAATGTATGATTGACTAGGCACAAGGTCAAAAATAAATTTCTCAAACTATGTGA